TGCTTCCAATCATTTGATAATTAAAACATCTCTAACTAATTCAGTAGGCATTCTAGTAGGATTTACGTTCAATGTCAGATTATACGCATGAGACATACTAGAAGAAGAACCTCTTGCATCATATATTTCATCCCTAATGTCTTCAAATAAATTTACTAGTTTTGCATCGTCTTCTTCAAAATTAGCAAAAGGCGTAGGTGCTGAGAATATTCGACTAATATTTACACCCAATCGATGTGCGTACAATTCATACATAGAAATTAAAGAGTTTTCTAAATTTAAATAAGTGATAGGTTGGTGATGCAGCGTGACACAAGAAATTTAAGCGAATATCTTAAGAATACAAATCTGAAATCCATCACAAAATGAAAGATAAAATCAAGAAGTTTTATTAATTTCCAAGATGTCTAAGAACAAATAATTAACCTCTTATTTATAAGGCTTAAACGAAAACCTAGCCTCAAACTAAAATTGCAAAGAATTCAAAATAAATAAAATGATAAAAATAGCACTAAAACTTATAAAGTAATTTTCGAGTCCGTCTCGTCGTTTCCTTTTCGAAAGGTATTATGGGCTCAAATCTGAGCTCGAACGCCAAACCTGCAATATAATATTTTTTTTCATTTTCAATTCAACTGTTCTCAATCCACTTGACCATCCGTTCTACATCAGTTGATCAAAATTTTAATAGTTTGTGATTTTTCGATAACACATTAGTGCTTCTTAAATTGTAGATGGAGTCCATTTCACTTGTCAAAGGGAATAATATAAGAATGTCTTCATAGTACTAAACCTGCTGCCCTTCCTCTGTCTTGTGAAGTTGCAACACCATTGGTTGCCTTGTAATAATACCTAAACCGAAGATAAAAAAAAAATAATTCTACATCAGTTGATCAAAATTTTAATAGTTTGTGATTTTTCGATAACACATTAGTGCTTCTTAAATTGTAGATGGAGTCCATTCACTTGTCAAAGGGAATAATATAAGAATGTCTTCATAGTACTAAACCTGCTGCCCTTCCTCTGTCTTGTGAAGTTGCAACACCATTGGTTGCCTTGTAATAATACCTAAACCGAAGATAAAAAAAAAAATAAATAAATAAATAAAGGGATAAACAAATGGATAGCATTAATTAAATATTTATTCCAAGTTTATCAGATTAAAGGTCGGGGCTTACCAAAGTTATGGAAAAGGAAATCTCGTCCTACTATGCTCTCCAACTTAGAAGACTTCCCTGAACTCTGTTCTGAGCTCAAACCACAATTAGAAAACCCACATAAAAGCATGTTTGGCTTACCCTAGCAAAAAGTAAAAAAAAAATTAAGTAATTTCTTATTTCTAAATATATTTTGAAATGTTACTTTCGAGAAAAATGATATTTATTTCGAAAGAAGCTTTTAACTTATTTCCAATATTTATATTTATTTTGAAACCTGCTTACTTGGAAGGGAACTAAATCAATCCTATGTTTTTTTTACTTTTTATTTGATTTATGTCCAACCCTTTTCATACAAAGATCTACCTTTCTTGTTCGACCTTGCTGCCAATTCTAAATTAAGTTACTTCTCAATGGTACATTTTTAAGTCTACCTTGAACAATCTTAAATCATTTTTCTCCTGTCGACACTACTTCTCTTACTTCAACAATGTGCTAATGTCTAATTTAATACATTTTTTAAATGTATATACTTGACACACATTCAAATACTTATCATTGTTCCTTAGGAGCTAAAATTCAATTAATGTCAAGTAATGCTCACAAAAAATGCAAAATGAAAAACCAATATCAAAATTCAAAATTGAGAGACTCCGCTTCAAACTTAATCCCAGTATGTTCTTCTTGCTTATCTTTAACACTTTTCCTCGACTATCAATCCAATGTATCCAAATAGCTAATGTAAACGAACTTGTTGCACGTCAAATTGAGGAGGTAAAGGCCTAAATTTAAACCTCAAGAAAGTCATTAGACAAGCACTTAATTTTGTCGGGAATTGACTTTGTATTATCCTACATAGAATAAGAATTGAAATTATAATGTCACATTTGGAATATGAATTAATTTGTTTGTCCTGTGTTACAAGAATGAGTTGATTTGTTTCCTACATCCGAAAGGAATAGTTAGCTAACCTCTTTTGTGCACACATAATAGGAGACTCCACCTTATATTTTCACCATTTCAAGGTTGAGATGGTTGTAGACTATCTTAGGCTAAGACTTAGAAGATCATTTGTAGACTCCCATGTATGTATTTTGTAGTGTATTTGGGGGTTTGGAAATTGTGAGTACGTGTAATTGTAGCAATTTTTCACATTTGTATAAATCTTTGTTTTCTAAAATCTGGTTTTCACATTAACACATCAATATGCTACAATATGAAACTTTGTAAATAAAATTCCAAATTTTCCAATTATATGTGTCATACATTATTCAATAGGAGGAAACTCCTTACCTTGTCAACTATCCACCCACCACTTAGTATATCTCTGTAGAATTTCTCATTATATCTCACTAATTTTAAATAAACTCTTTGGCTGCATTCATATAAATATAATAAAAATTAATTAACTTACTATTGAGATTGTTATACATAAACAAGTCCAAGCAATTAGAAACTTGTCATTTCGGTTGCGGTCTCCAACATAGGAAGTCATTAGCATTCAACGGATCAACCACTTGAAATAGGTCAAAGTTATTCCCCTCTTCAATTTTTTCCCGCTTGTAGATATAGAAGGTAAGAAGGATTTCTTCGAGGCTCTAGAGTATTTCACCCTAATATGTTATAGATAAGCAAGAAAAAACCCTGTCGATTTGATGTAAAAACATTTTTGAACAATCATGGTGCTCAGTAATGATGCAATCAGTATGCCCACTACCATTAAAAGGGAACATTGATTGCTATATGCGAATCATCCTCATAAATCATAACAACCACTTGCAAGCAACATTTGTATAAAGAAAAAAGAACAGAACATGCAAAGAATTGTGAAAGCTAACATGCATTCCATACTGATTTATATGATCAATGGAGAGCACATCATCCACAACTTCAATAGTGCAAGCCAGAGAAATGTATTATTAGTAAAATGAAGATGCTTCTAGAAGATTCAGCATAGAGCTTGCCCGAGAGCAACCATATATTGTAAGCTTTGAAACGAATGCACATCATTATATTAATCTCCAGATCTCCAAGTTTTTTTAAGGCTACATAACTCGTTCATTTTCTAATTTTTTTACTTATTCCTCAAAATAATACTTATAGTCAGTGTTAACTGAAAAGAATAATTGTGGTCTCAAAATTGGCTATGCAGAAATATGTAGTATCTATTTCAACCCTGTTGGGAGCGTAGGATTAATTTCTCAACAATGTAATTTATTGACATGAATTATTGAAATGTGTAATTGCACAACGTAATTATTCATTCCTCAAAATGGGGCTCTAGCATTAGTTTCTCTATAAGCTTGTAACTATATTTTTTGAGCAATTAACAAGATGGATTATCAAGAAAATAACAACCTTAGATTTGAAGTTCCAATATAAGTTCATTAAGGCCACCAGTATTCACCGACTCCCTGTGCACAAGAATTGTTTCCTAAAAATAATAAGTTCAACGAGCTAAGGATATGCCAACATACTAACATGTGGTTTACAAAGGTAGAAAATACCAATGAAAATATTGCCATTGCATCACAGGGTGATCATGTTTTTGAGACCCAAACAATGTGATTTGCCTTTCTAGCTTGTCCAAACCAGATGCACCATGCTTTAGTACTAGACAAGGTTTAATATGAAATGTAGCAGACAAATTCTCCAGATCATGAATATCATTGAGTCCGTCCTGAGAAAATAAAGATTAAACTGCACACATCAGATAACTACAGAGGATTGTGGAAAAATGAAAAAAAATGAGCAAAAGAGAAAATGACAGAGCCCGGATGAAGGTACGGAATAGCAATAGAAAATTGGAAATATTTATTGAATAGCAACTATACCTCCAAATGTTGTGCAGCATCTGAACGAATGCCTTTATCAATGGACACCCCCTCTGGAGGAGTATCAGCGTCATCTTGCCCATTCATGTGCTTTCCACTCATGCTTGAATCATTTGAATTAGAAAGAGCATCATCTTGAATTTGCAGGGAAAATCTCAAGTTATTAAAGCAGCATTCAAATGATTCAATCCATATAACCAACTGATCAATGGATTAATAGCATACAAAAGTAGCTTGATTCTTTAGATCCTCCTGATAAAAATTCAAGGCAGTGATACCTAGGATGTACTCTTGCTACACATTAAGATCAGCCCAGGATAATGTCTAACTAAGATGTTGAAAATACAAGCATGATAATATTGTAAAACAAACTACTGAGTCTATGCAACACTGATTGCATCTCGTACAATGATATACACACACACACACACACACATATAAAAGCAGTGATTAATATACAATTTAAATTGGCATAACATAGAGAAAAGAACAGCTCGTTCTTTATTGATGTCACTCCATCATGCTCATCCTATATTATTTCCTTGAATTTCTTTTCCAATGACATTTCATTTTTGGCTAACAGTTCCACTGACGCTCTTCATTCAACCAATAAATGTTGCAAATAAGTTTCTTGTACATGAAATTATTACCTGACATCAAACTAATCCATCTAATTCCCTGAGTTAAATAGATTAAAAATGAGTTTAGATCTGCAAAAAATTGTTTATATGAAATATAATAAACAATAAATAAATTTTACTGCAAGATCCACATCCTAGGTACAACCCTAACATTCTTTTGACTTTTCACAAAATCTTGCTCCAAAACCATTTAAACAAGAATTGCTTTCTACATTTATGAAGGAAACAAATTTAAGTAGTATTAACATGGTGAAAATTATTTTACTGACATAATTAGTAATTCCCTATAATATCCCAAAATTCCTTATACAAAATATGATCCAAGTACAATGAATAAACTCAATTACTGAAGCTCAAACCTAATTACATATATCCATGTGGGAATAACAAATAAAGAAACCTTATATGCAGGAATGATGAATTGAAAGTAGTCTTTTATGTTATGTTTGCAATCAATTCAAATTAATAGAGGAAAAATTATTATTTGTGATTAATAGTACCTGAAGACAGTCTGATGAAGAAACTCTCTCCCCATAATCATCAATACTTTTATCTTTAGCAATTGTCCTCCTTGGGATCTTTTCAACTGTGTCTCCAACGAAACCCTTTGCCACACCGAGTCAAAAATATTCCTATATTTTGTCAATCAAATAGAATCATACTTCACTTTGCACAACACAAAGCATAATATGTTTCCCCTCTTTAATCCCATGAACTATGATTCTCAGAAGAAATTAGAAACCCAATTTCTAATTCAAAATTTCATATTCCTAAGACTCAAACTGAATCCCAAATTTATCTTAAAAGAACAACAACAACCAAATCAAGCTTCCATAAAATCCAATTCAACCCTTCCCAATAGGATTATCATTCGATCCGTCGGATTTATAACAGTAAGTTAGGGTTTCATATGATGGTCGAAAGAAGAGAGCATGTTTCGCTTGAAACTATAGAAGAACCATTATTGGAACAAGCTAAGGAACAGTGTGAAAAGGCCTATGACATGGATGAACAGTAATCCCAAAGCCTCTCTTTTAAGAGAGAGTGTACATATATATAAAGGTTGGCTGAAAACACTAAAATTATATAATGTTTTCAACAAAATATATTGGTGATATTTGTTATGGAAAGATTGAAAAAGGAAAGAGTAAACAAAAGTCATTAGACTTATGTGTAATATAATGACAACAAAAGCTACATATTTATATGGAAGGATTAGAGATACAATGGTAATAATTTCTAAGGTTATAGAGATATAATTGATATTCACTAATAAACTTATCATATTTATTAAATGACACATTATAAAATATATATTTCGTCGATACCTTGTTTGATAAAAATTCAATGAGACAAAAACATTAAATGAAAAAGAATACAGTTATTTTGGAGCATTAAAATAAATGCAACTTCATTAAAACCTTGATATAAAAATCCAACATGATAAAACCTAAGAAAAGGTGAGTACAACTACTCCCCCCAATATTGATCATTGGAAATTTTTTAGTGTGACGCTTTCCAATCTTTTGAACCTATTTCTTGAACGTAAACATTGGCAGTGCTTTTGTAAAGAAAGCAGCTACATTGTCGCTTGAGCGAATTTGTTGACATCAATGTTGTCATTCTTCTAAAACTTATGTATATGAAAGAATTTGGGAGAAATATGTTGTCCTATCACTTTTTATAGTGGCTTCTATTAAGTTGTGCAATACAAACAACATTGTTTTCATACAAAATTGTTGGACTATTTTTTGTTAAAATTAATCAGTATGATGTTTAGATCTGATGGGTCATGTTCCTCGACCATACACATTCTCGATTTGTTTCATGAATTGTAATAATTTCATAATGATTTGAGGTTATTGTTGTTAATGATTGTTTCACAGATATTTATGATATAGCTATTCCTTTATATGTAAACACATATCCTATTTATGATTTAGTTTTATGTGGATCAAAGAGTAACATACATCTGCATATCCCATTAAAATAGATCCCAACTTTTAAGAATAAAATAATCTTAAATCAATAGTATATTTTATGTAACGAAAAGCATATTTAACACCATTCCAATAGCTTTGAATTTGTGTAAAGTTATATCTTGCAAAGATATTTACAAAAAAAGATATGTCGAGTCAAGTGCAATTTGCAAAATAATTTAATGTCCTAATTGTACTAAGATATGATATTTTTGGACCAAAAACCTTTTCTCCATCTTTAAGGGGATGAAATTGATCTTTTTTCATATCAAATGATCGAACAACCATAGGTGATGCTAATGAATATACATTATCAATAGAAAATTGTTTTTTTTTTTTTTGAAAAACAATGGAAAAAACAACCATAGGTGATGCTAATGAATATACATTATCAATAGAAAATTGTTTTTTTTTTTTTGAAAACACATGGAATACATCATCGTTTTTATAATTATTTTTCAACAAATATTCGCTAATGCGAGTGCACCACAGATGTCTGGATTGCTTCAATCCATCTTATGATCATTACAATTTAATTGAGAACATAGTTCTCGGACGTGTATTATTTATTCCTAGCATTTTTAGTCATTTAGGGAATTTCATATATATGTTCCCTATCAAGTGAATCATATAAACTGACAGTTACTACATTCATAAGGCGTATATCGAATTTTTGTGACATAGTCAAACTAATTAAGAATGTAAAAGTGATGGTATCCGTTATGGGAAGATACGTTTCTTCATAATCAATTTTTGATCTGTGAGAAAAACCTTGAGCTACAAGTCGGACTTTATATCTTGTAATTTTATTGTTTTCATTTCTTTTTCGTATAAAAATTCATTTGTATCATACAAGAATTACATTTTCGGGTCCTCGAACTATATGTCCAAATACTTTTTATTTATATAAGGAGTTCAATTATATTTGTATGGCCTTTTACCATTTGGTCAATCATTTCTATACCGACAATTTTTAACAGATTGTGAGTTAGGATCCTCATTTTGCATAATATAGAAAGTCACGTTAGAAGGTGAAAATATTTCTATAATAATATTATTTTGTTCCAATAATTTATGATATAACATATAATTTATTAAAATCTCATTATTTTCAAACACTTATGGCTCTTCACGAACCATATTTTCAATATTTAATTGATCAATCTTTTCTAATGTTAATTATTTTGAAGTTTTTGGTTAATTTTTCTCTTGTACTTTTCTTTTTCAAGGTACAAGAGTTTTTTGAACCAACTGATCAACCATGTTTCTGATATATTTGAAATTCATTTGCTATAACAGATTGTCCTATAGGAATATCAATTTTTGTTGGGGTATTTTCTACTGGAATATGACTTTATAACTCTTCTTATATCATCAATATATCAAGTAATTGATTTGCAACATTTTGTAAATGAATGATTTTCAACCTCTTGCTCACATGGATAATAAGGATCAAAGTGATGTATAACTATTTCATTCCAAAAAATTTTACCTTATTTTTCAGACATAATTTTTCCTTTGTTAAGTTAGAAAACTCATTTTATCAAAATGACAACTGGTAAACTACATAAAACACTCATTAAAGATTCAATATACTATCAGCTAGTGAAACAAAATCCAGATAAATCCCAAGTCTTCATTGGGGACCAATTTTAGTATGTTTGTAGGGTGAAATAGGGGCTTAGAAGGCACAACTAAAAAACCCATAGATAATAAATATTAGGTTCATGATCAAATGCAAGTTGCAAAGGTGAATATTGATAATAGAAGTTGATCTTATAAAAACCAAAATGATGTAGCTTGTAATACGACATGACTCCAAATAAAAGTTGGGAGTTTTATTTTCATAAGTAATGGTCTTAATAAATTGTAAATGTTTAATAAACGATTCAACTAAACCATTTTATGTATGGTCATGTGCAACTGAATGTTCAATAACAATCCAAATCGACATACAATAATCATCGAATGCTTGTGATCTAAATTCACTAGCATTATCAAGACGATTTATATTGATTGAGTAATCAGAAAATTGAGCTCGTAATTTTATGATTTGAGCAAGTAATCTAGAAAAATCTACATGAATTTTGGTGGGTATATTGACACACATATGTCTCTATAAATTTTTTCAAAGAAAGTTGGGTATTCAATATTGACATTTGTAGTCAAAGGTCTAATAACTAAATTGTCCTACAAATAAGCTACACATGGATAATCATCATTAGATAAAAGACTCTCCTAGTTCTTTTAAAAGATGTCCATGTGAGTTGCTTATTATTCAACGCATCATTATAGCTCCTGTAGATTCAAGTTGATAATATCAAAGTATAAACTTTTTGAGTCAACGAACTTCTGGTTCATGGCAGTATTTAATTCAACCATTTGTATAATTGTATGATATATGTTAGATGAGAGTGTATGAAAATTTTATTTTATCAGCTTTTGGCCAAATAAAAAAGAAGTTATCCAAATATATTCAATACTATTTTCTTGCATCTTTTCAATGTGATATCCATTGCAACTAATATCCTTAAAATCAAGAAAATTTCTTCTAAATTTGCTAAAATAAAGTGTGTCGTCAATATATAATTTTGTATTATTTTGTAAAATGATAAAGAGCTCTTCCGAAGTTTTCAATGATATTCGATGCACTTGATATTGTATAAATTATCTTCTGCTAATGTTAAGTCCAAAAAACATTTTTAGTCTTGAAGAATAACATGCGTAGTTACATAATCAATCAAATAGGTATCTTGAAAATTCGTCATGAAACTTCACTAAACGTTGAAGAATTATGCTTTCATGCTGATAATGTATTATGAGAAGAGAGAATAAAAGTGAATAGACTTGTGTGTATTATATTGAGAACCGGTACCACATATTTATAGGGTATGATTATGAACTTACTATTTATAGGTTGTAGAGGTGAAATTATCGTTCACTGACAAACGTACTATTTACAACAATAATTAAATTTTTAGGAAATATATTAGAATTTGAGTTGAGGAACTTAAAACTATATATATTTTTAAAATCAATTAAAATCCTAACTGAGAAGTTGTCACACCTCAAAAATATAGATAACCATAAATTACCCTGTGTAGAAATGATATTGATGACTTAATCTGGACATAAGATTTTACACATATTTTTAAAGATAAAATGAAATAAGTATCTTCACAATAAGGTCTCTGTATATTCTCGCATGGTCATCTATGATACACATATGGTATGTTATGAACAAATACTGTATAATCAAATTTCAACATATTTCTCTTAAGGATTCCAAAAGTATCTATCATGTCATTTCAAAAGTCATATGTATAGCACAGGATTTTCTAAATATAATGCAAGAATTTATAAAATCAAAACAACATCCTACAAGATAACCCTATAGGTCATCATCTATGTACATCGAATTCTAGAATCCCGTAAGAACTCCACAGCTAGCCTTGACTTCTATGAAGTCTCATGCTCACTTGCAATGCAAGAACTATATAAACTAATGCTCAGTAAGCAGAAACCATACATGTCATGAGTATGAGTATGAGTAACAATAATATATGACACCATACCATTTACTTTAAACATTATGCTACAAATGCATCATATTCAAGTATTCGTCAAAGTCAACTCAAAATAACTTCAGTTGAAAGTTCAGAGTTTCAATAGGTTATAAAACTCCCAAAAGAGCTAAAGAAAAACTTCCAAAACCATGAGTTAAACTTCACCTGCTCAAACTGCAATTCCAGCTTATTGTTTTCTATTTCTCTTTTCTTCATTTGCCCTTTCTTTCGATTGGGGTCACTTGGGGATAACTTTGGAGGGTTAAATGTCTTATTTAAGAGCTATATAAAGAGTCTTAAGGATTGGAGTCATGAGTGATACTTAAAGGTGAAGAAAAATGTGATTAAAGGACAAGTATCCTCAAGCATAAGGTGTCAAAGCAGGATGTGGCTTCATGCAGCCAAATTTAACTTTTTCCTTACCTTATTTGGAGCCATATGTGACTTAGAAGATGTATTTCTATCCTACGTAAAGTGCTAAGGGTTTAGAAGATGTGTTGGAGGCCTTAAGGTTGAAGGAATTA